CATAAATATATATAAATACATAAAACATCAATTTAAAAACATTTCTAAAAAAGGGAAAGGATTCATTCTATACATTCTCTTAAGTCATTGTCTAAGAAGGAAATATTTCTGGGCAAAAGCTTTGCAAATGGCTTTTTCTTACAAATCAAGCTCTCAAATAGAATATAAATAAACAGATATAAATACCTCAGATAGAATGGTGATATGGGCCTTTCATCCTCTTGGGAACTAAAAACAAAATAAGATATACTTGTCATTAGCGTGCACATTTCTATTCCTCTCTTGCAAGCTAATTGGTACAACACCAACCAGATCAGAAGAAGACCGTGTCCTAATCTGTAGTATTAAAGCCAACAGTTTGTAGGAGAGAGGAGTAAATTAAATATTAAGTTGTCTTCTTTAAGGTTACAAAATTTCAAGTCATTTGTGAATTCTCATTAAAGCAGAGTGAGATAAACTGCTGAATTATCAAAAGCCATGGCAGCTGTGTAAGACTTTAGAAGCTATTTCTACATCAGTGGGACAGTACATCTGGAAACAGAGTAACTAAGATTTGGGATAGGAGAGTTAGGGATTAGCCACAGTTTTAAAAGTGGATAATGCAGTCCTAAAGTTTAGATCCCTCTCCTTTCATAGACAACAGGGGGAAAACTGCCTGGGTAAGAAGGCTTTAGACCATGTCCATTTGGACCTAGAGTAGAGTGCAACCTATTTGAACATGCATCTTCTGCATTCTGTGCATTTACTTTTTAAGGCAAAAGATGCACTGTTCACATCACTTCCACCATACCTAGACCTGATCCCTACTTTACCTTAAGGCAAGACTCAGACCCAACCTATACCTACTCACTTGGTTACCATCTTTCCAGGGTCTGAATAGAAAGCAGACTGGGAATAAGAAGAACACAAGCAATAATCAATCCTCTAAAACGTTCTTAAGTTAAACAATGATGGAACATTTTAAATATCATTAAGTGGTTGACTATGTGCCATCAAGTAAATTTATGTGAAATACCACCATGGCCCCACAAGAAGGTGAGATTAATCAACATTATTCTCTTGTGCAGCTTTACCTTTCCATAAAAACAGAGGAAGAAATGTTTCTAAATATACAGACAAGAATTATTTTCCAGTCAGGTTGTTTTTATAACAGGGCATATTCACTGACTTTTATAGTAGCTCATTATACTGTTTGAAGAAATTGGCTAATCAGAGGTCTGTTTAGCATTGCAAAGAAAAAGGTAGGGTGGAAGAAAATGCAACAACCTCTGAATGATGACAATATCTTTCTTCCATCAATCTACCTCTTAAAAATTCCAATTCCATTGCAAATAAAGTTATAGATGCTACCACACAAAGCCACTGAGCTTAAAATGCTATTATTCAGCTGCTGACTGCAATCAGGTATGACTTTTCTTCTATCTCTGTTCCAGGAACTGCAATCACTTCTAACAGAAAGCTGCTATGTTTTGTTTTCCCGTCTCCACATCCTATATCAATTTACTACCTGTTAGTAGTGTAAAAAAAAAAAGAAAAGGAAATACAGACATTCTAGGATGGGCTGTATTCATTGTTGGGGCTTTCTCTAGCCTTCTACTGATACAGGGGTGTTTGGGCAATCAAGACCTGTAAATTCCTACTGTTGATAGCAAAAACAGCTTCTTGCAATTTTTGCTGGTTCATTCAACACTCAACGATTGGCCACAAGAACATCTTATCATCAGTGCCCACACCATTAATGATCAAAAACCTATTGAAACCAACAAGATTCCTGCTATATAAATTGCTTGTTAACAAGCTGACAAACTTCTGACAGAACTGTGAAAATGATCCTAACACCTGCTAAAAAAAAGCAAGTTTTAAAGAACAACTTGGATGGTATAAGAGAAGCAGCTGTCCACAGGCCTTCTGGAAGGAAGTTCTTAGCATATGGCCAGCAACAGAAAAGCTATGGAGATGTTTCAAGGAAGATTTTTTTTTCTTCATAGCTGAAGGTGCTGAATCTGGAAGAAAGCTCATAGAAAGAGTTGTATTACCGAGCTAAACATAATATCCACTATGTAGTGCAAAACCTTTGCAAGCCACATGGCATTGTTCATGGCTCAGGTTTGTCATTACTGCTACAAGGACCCAAATCATATCTATACTGGGCTTCAAGTTAATGGAATGCTTCCAATACTTGTTATAGTTCAGAATATTTCACTTCTCTCTGGTTGACATTCTGTTACCCTAGTGCCACAGAAAAGTAATTCCCACTCATTTCCTCTAAGAAATACTCCTCTAAGGTTGTGAGCCTCTGGAACAGTTAAATATTGACCTAACTATAAAGATGAATAATCAGTATAGTCTACAAAGGTCCTTGGACAGCAGAAAGTTCAAAGCCTCCTCACCAAGACCAAGGTTTAAAAAGGGACCTGCTACCAGAGTCACGTATTTGTACAGTTTCCAGAAGTTTAAAAACTCTTTATGTACCCTGACATTCTGATCAAATATTTGGGTACTGAAAATAAAATTGTTTGGGATTGCTGTGCTATATTTAATGCCCTTCTACTTTGACCCTAGATAAAAGTACCCTAGAGAAAATTGATTTCCAGGAACACGGGGAAAAAGTAATAAATAAAAGTAGTAAACACTAATGCCAAATGGCCATGAATTCTCTGAATTTCTGCATGCAGAACAGCCACATCAGCTCGCAGATGGAAGAATTACCATTTTTGATACTCCCCAGACGAACAAAAGCTTTCTGCAGTCAATTGTTTGCCAGCTGTCCTGCTTCCCTATTTGCATTAATTCTTAAGGCAAAACATTTAAAACTAAGATCACCTCCTAGCAGCTGAAGTAGCATAGTCTATTCCTTCTGTTGCAGGTGTAAGCCATTTCTAAACATCATCTGTGCACCAAAACAGACACAAGCTATCTCTTAGGTCTTTTAAGGTATCGTCAGGCTCTAGGCTGTTTTTCCCTGTAGGCTTGAACTGTACTGCCACATCAGGTTAAGAGTAAGTATGTTGATTTTAGCTTAACCTGAAGGCAAACTTAGTTTTGTTGATCTTATTCTCCTCTTATCATTTGGATACACTTGGCAAGCCAAACCTCTTTTGTAAACAGACAGTAATGCCTGGGCTTTTCCAGAAAGACTTAGGGAGCATTTTCGGAATCAGTTCAGGATATCAGAGGATTTTAGCTGAACAAAAATGAAAGTGTTCTGCTTCTAACAGGGACTTGACTTAACCTTCAAAATACTTTCCAATTACGGGCTTATATAAGTTCCTCCCACTCCCATTTTTCAGTCTAAAGACCAAAGACTTGTGGAGCTTTTATCATAACTCAAGGATGCACCATGTTTTAGATGAAGCAGTCCAAGGCCCATCCTCAGATTCTCAAGATTAAGGCCCCTGGATTGCAGGGACCATCGGTTCTTATTTATTAAATTTGTATGCCACAGAAGCATTCAGACTTTTAACGTCTTACAACAAAATAAAATATCATAAAATGTCAATGGTAAAGAAAAACATTTACAATAAAACATCCACGGTAAGAAAAATAAACAAATCACAACCCTGATTACACCAAAATCCCCTAAACAACTCATAAAATCAAAGCCAACAACAGTAACAATAACAGCAACAGCAACAACAACAACAACAACAACAATGGTGGACTTCACATCTCCAAAACTTTCCAGAAGAGTTCAGACTGAATTGGCCTAACTTTTAGAGAAAGACTGTTCCAAACCATAGGTATTATGATTTAAAAACACTACCTTGCCTCAGTTCCCCTCAACTCACAAAAATGGGGCACCAGCAGCAGCTTCTCCCTGAAGAATTTCCTTGGAGAGGTCAACATTGGTTGGAGAGGTGGTCCTGCAAGTACCTTAGTGACAAGTGATATACACCCATGTAAGTAAAAAATAGCACTATGAATTGTACCTGGAGATCTCTTGGTAATTAATGAGCAAGATAGGTATAACATAATGATAGTGGCAAAAGCCAGTGAACAATCAACAACTGCATTTTGCACCAACAGTAGTTTCTGAAAGATCTTCAAAGGCAGGCCCGTGTAAAATCATTCCAGAAGTCTACCCATGTGGTGATAGGGCCACAAGTTACTGAGGCAGAACCTCCTGCTTCAGGACAGGCTGCAACTGATGCACCAGCTAAAACTGGGCAAAAGCCTTCCTCAATACAAGCCTACACCTGCCCATTCAGTAGTAGCTATAAGCCCAGAATGATTCCCAATTGGTTTAGTAGAGTTACCCATTCAAGATACAACACTGAAGGTGATAGGGTACCAAGATGTACATCTTGCTTGGGTTCAACTTTAACCTGTTTCTTCCCATACCTGATTGTCTCCAGGCACTGCAACAGGATTTCAACTGTATCTCCAGTTGGACCTGGAACGGCAATATTAAGTTGATTTTTGTTGGCACTAATGGTATTGCACTCTGAGCTACCAGCTAACCTTCCCAATGGCTTTATGTATATCTTAAACAGCAAACCAACCCCTGTGGTGCTCCACATGGGAGTGGCCACTGGGCTGAATTCTCCACCCCTAATGAATCTGGCTGGAACTTCTCATTAAGGAGGACCATTCTGCTAGGTGGTCCAACAGGATACCAGGATTGATTTTACCAACACCACCAAGAAGTCTAAAAGGACCGAGCAGGTGCATACCTCCCATCACAAGGTCCCAACAAAGATAATCCAGGAGAATAATCAATGCCTTCTCCATTCTACACTTAGGCCTGAACTCTGACTGAAAATGGTCCAGGTAATCCATTTTCTCTAGGATGCTTTAGCTGTTGGTTGTCGAACACTGCTGGATCTAAGGTAGGCCTCTTAAGGACAGGGTACATCACAACCTCCTTCAAAGTTTCCAGCATCAACCTTGCCTGTAGAGAAGTGTTGCCACCTCCCAGATCCTGCCCTGTGCAGTGGGGCATGGGTCAAACCTTAAATGGCAGGGGTCAAACCAGAGAGCCCCCTATCAATTCTCTCAGACTCTTCAGGGCCAAAGGAATCTGATATAACAGAACTGGATGATCACATCAAACTGTGCCAAAGGGGATCAAGGCTCTGACAAATCTAAGATACTTTGCTGGCAAAATGCTGAGTAAGACAGTCACAATGTCCAGGTGGGAGTTCTTCCTGCTCATCCTCTCAAAAAGGGAATTCTGGCAAAATGCTGAGTAAGACAGTCACAATGTCCAGGTGGGAGTTCTTCCTGCT